ATATACATATATACACGTGTGTGTGTGTGTGTGTGTGTGTGTATATATACTGTATATATATATATATATAATTTTTTTCCCCCTTTTTTATCCTTCTTTCTGTCTATCCATTTCTGTCTGTCTGTCTTTCCCTTCTTCCATTTATGTTTTTCCATTCATCATTATCTATCTATCCATCCAGCCATCATTAGTTATATCTATCGTTCTATTTATTATTGCGTTCAGTCTATCTATCTTTCCATCCATCCATCCATCTGTCTATCCTTCATTGGTTATATCTATCGTTATATTTATTATTTCGTCTATCTATCTATCTATCTATCTATCTATCTATCTATCTATCTATCTATCTATCTATCTATCTATCTATCTATCTATTTTATTACTCACGTGAGTGTTCACCACATGCATCTCTCTCTCTCTCTCTCTCTCTCTCTCTCTCTCTCTCCCGTCTTCCTATCACCCTTCTTTCTCTCTCCCTCCCATCCTACCTCGTTATCCTCAAACTGAGGCGCACGCAGTCCGCTCTGTCCGTACACTCACACTCACACTCACTCACACACACACACACACCTGCGGGAGGAGCTGCGCTGCGGAGCGGAGCGCTGCGGGGCGTGAGACCGGCTCCGCTCACACTCAACTTGGGCATCATCATCATCGGCGCTGCGCGGATAACGGATCTCGGATCTCCTCAGGACTACATCCAGCCACGATGTCCGACTTTATTTTGGCGTTTCTGAGCATGTCGGGATTAATTCTGCTGGTTAAAACGCTGACAGTGGCTGGGGCTGAGCAAGGTAAGACATACCAAACTCCGCTTATTAACGTATATTTATTATTTTATTTACATGTATTGGCATATGTTCCTCTTAAAGTGTTTATAAATATTGCATTAATGTTTAATATTAAAACTTTTGTGTATGTTGGCAAGTCTATATATCTATCTATCTATCTATCTATCTATCTATCTATCTATCTATCTATCTATCTATCTATCTATCTATCTATCTATCTATCTATCTCGTATTGTAGCTCTCTTTATTTATCTTTTTTACTTATTATATAACTTGACGTGTAACAGAGAGAGTGCCTGGCTGTCTGACTAAATCAATAACCAGTTAAGTGACTTCTTTATTTGTAGAAGTTGTAGTTGATGAAAACAGCTTTTAACCATTGGCTAAAGTTATGTATGTCCTCCTTTCAAATCGTAGACTCTTAAAAATAAAGGTTTTTTGAAGGTTTCTACGCCCTCCTTTAATCAAGAACCATTTTTTTTTGTTCATGCTCTTGAGGACCATATGATTCTTTGGAGATGAAGAAAGTGCTTGCGGCTGCATTATACAATTGACTTCTTGGTTTCAGGTTTCTGGAGATCTCCAGAAATGCACATTTTGGATGTCTACCTTATTTAAAACTCTTGATTCGCTTCATCAGGTCATTAATAAAGGCTTCAAGAACTGAACTGGGTGTGTTGGATCAAGGAAACTTACAGTTCTAAGACTAGATGTTTCAATATACTAAAGGTGATAAAGTTCTTTGTGGAACTTAAGAGGCTGTATATCCATTTTTCAGTCACCTTTATTTGTAACAGTAGATGGGGTATGAGTGTCATTTTTTCATAAAAGCATTTGCTGCTGACTCCCTGATGGCTTTTAAATGCAGTATCATCTTTGTGTGTTATTAGGAATAATGCATTGAGTATGTGTTACACTGATCCATCAGATGCGACTTAGTTTAACACTGTATACATGGCAGGGTTGCATTTACAGCACATCCGTGAACAGTTTATTAGGTTAATGCAACCGAATTATTCATTCAATCATTTAATGGCATCATGGATACCTAAAACTGCCAACATTACCTTGACTAGACACTTTATGTTTTAATAGCACAAGTTCACGCTTGATATGCATCTTCCAAAAAAGTGCCAACTGGCCTCATTTCTGATAAGTTTTTGCCTAATGTGTTAGCTAAAATGCTTTGATCATATCAGAATAAAGGATTTGGATTGGGTACATAAAACGCTTAACAGACCACGGGGATTGGTTTGTAAATGAAAATAGATTTACAGTCCATGTTGAAATGAACATTTCATGTGAGATGGTGTGTTACCAAGTTTATCGAGCAGGCATTCAATAAACCGTTGACAAAATGTGGGTACCCTAAACAAATCAAGCACCGCAACAAGTGCGGCTCCCTAAGGGCTCCATTACTGCGAACCGAAAACACTAATGGCCTATAGACTGAATACTTAGTGTGGTAAATGTGTCTCTGTCAGTGTAATGTCGGCTAGATATTTCCTTTCGGGTGATATATCATTCTGTCGGATGGAAATATGTCATGTTATTAACACTAGAGCAGAATTTCCACTTGAATGCAAAAACCGAATGAAGTTTGCGTTCCATTTTCGATACATAATGTGATTTTGACCTTCATGTCATTGGGCTTGTTTTGTAAGAGTTTATCTTCAGCCAAACCGCTTCATTGTTTGGATGCAATTTCGCTACATGGCTGACAGGAACTGGTTTTATTATAAATGGAATCAGGTGGCGTTGTGGTTCAGGTGATAATTTTGGCTTCGACTTCTGTCTGCTTGATTTTGGAAACAACTTCTGGTAAAAAAAAAAAAAAAGGTCTAAATTTATGTAAAGAATGAGGATTTTGGAATCATGTTATGGCAATCTGGACCGCTGGGTCAGTTATAAATGCTGTTTTCGTGGGATAGGCCTTTGTTGAATGTCAATGCTGCATTCAATTTTTCTGTTGAAATTCTGTTCAGCTGTGAAAGACGTATTGGCTTGTGAAATGTTCATTTCTCGTGCTTGGTTTCTGTTTTGGCTGCGTGAAACTATTTACCGCAGTTCGGTCTTGATTTTATATTCCATTACTGAAGTGAAATTATCTTTATTTTTAGTAATGTTCATTAGGTTTTGGGTGTTTAGCTTCATTTAACACATTTTAAAATGACCACAGTTTAGTGTGAAGTCGGAGGAATTGTTTTTGAGAACACATTGTTAGCACATGTGCCTTAGGGTCAGGACTGAATATTTATCATACGTAGCTTTTAATGTTTTTCAAAATAGATGATTCATGACTTGGCAGCTGCAGTATTAGACAGCAGTGAATGTGGTAACAAAAGATTGTTTAAATAAAAAAAAAGTAAATCTGCTAGTGAAGCGTCTGGTGGATTAAATGTAGTTTCAAAGGTTTCTGTACTATATTCACCAAATAATGCTAATTAATAATCTATTAATCAATGGGAAATTATAAGATAAATGTATTTATATGCATCAATATCACAATATAAGACTAATATTAGTGTTTAGATATGCGATTTTAGATATATGTGTGTGTGTGTGTGTGTGTGTGTGTAGATTTATTATATAAATACACACACGCACACACACACACACACACACACACACATATATATGCGTGTGTTTGTGTGCATATATAAATCAAAGATCACACACAACATGCATACTTTCTTTCTTTTCACACAGGGCCATGTAGTTTTGGATTTTGTTTTCCCTTAATAATAAAAACCTTCATTTAAAAACTGCATGTTGTGTTCACTTGTGTTACTGTGTTCCATGGTGGGGAAGTTGTGGCCTAATGGTTAGAGAGTCAGACTTGTAACCCAAAGGTTGCGGGTTCGAGTCTTGAGTCTTGGCCACATGTCATGTCACTTCACTTTTATCTTTGACTAATATTTAAAGTTGTTTGATGATCTGAAACATTAAAGTGTGACAAACATGCAAAAAAATAAGAAATCAGGAAGGGGGCCAACACTTTTTCACACCACTGTATATAGATCAAAATGTATGTATTTTATTTTTTAAATATATTCATTCAAAATGTTAAAAAGAATGAAATGTGTGGTGTTTCCACTTAATGTTTTAATCCTTTATTAATTATTAGTAAATCACATGATTAATTCATATATATGAATTAATCATGTGATTAATTAAACGTGTGTGTATTTGATCTCAAATTATTTTATTCAATAAATAAGGTACAGTATAAAAATAATGATATTTAATCATTTATTGATTATTGGCAAAAGTATATAGAATAAATAAGTATATAAGTAAGTATATATTTATTTAGACGATTATGATGATATTTAATAAGAAGCTTTATTTTAACACACACACACACACACACACACACACACACACACACGTGTGTATGTATGTATTTGAGCTCAAATTATTTTAGGACAGTATAAAAATAATAAAGGCATTTGTTCAGTTTTCACTAAATTATATTTGATAATTTAATAATTTTTGGCAAATTACATGATATATCTAATTAAAATGCCAATAATCTAATGAATCCAAATTAGTACAGATTCACAGAAAACTGAAAAAAAACAAAAACTGGTGGTGCTAATCTAAAACTACTGCTACTGGAGTAGAGACACTCTTAAAAATATAAATAAAATAGAAAATAAGGTATAGGCAGGATCACTGCGCATATATTGCAAACATTCAATAGGCTATATCGTCCAGCTTTAGTGTGTGTGTGTTTTGTTCATGGTCATCTTAAGTAGCTGAACTTTCAGTTGTGCAGCCTGAGGGTCTCCTACAGTACTGTCAGTCAATTCAGCTGAAAATTAGTACAGATTCACAGAAAACTGAAAAAAACAAAAACTGGTGGTGCTAATCTAAAACTACTGCTACTGGAGTAGAGACACTCTTAAAAATATAAATAAAATAGAAAATAAGGTATAGGCAGGATCACTGCACATATATTGCAAACATTCAATAGGCTATATCGTCCAGCTTTAGTGTGTGTGTGTTTTGTTCATGGTCATCTTAAGTAGCTGAACTTTCAGTTGTGCAGCCTGAGGGTCTCCTACAGTACTGTCAGTCAATTCAGCTGCCAACTCTTCAAGGATCCTCTTCAGCCTGCGTTCATGCACCTGCTGAAAGCTATGCCTGATGTTTATTCCGTCTTCTCTCTTTCTGTCTTAGTTTGTTGTTGTGTTTCTCACAGAACGAGATTTAAAATCAGCTGCTAAGCAATAGATCTGTATAGCGTGATATAGAAATACATTTCCAATTCCTCAAACGGTCATGCATAATTTCACAGGATCGCTTATGTTTAGGACAGATGAACGAATGCCAGGCTCACCGGTCGATGATGCAGTCCTTGACCTCCAGTTTCTCACATCAGATTGACATAAAAATCATTCAGATGTTAAAGGAGTTCAAACCCCACCCTGACTGCTCTGCCAAGAACCATGTGTGTCTCCTTTTCTTTGAAAGAGATTTAGTTGCAAGTTCTAGGCAATATTGTTTGCTAGCAAATAAAACATTAAATGCAATAAAATAGTGATAAAGCATTGGTGCCCATATGTTTTTTCTCTCTCTCTAAAGCATTTGAGGCACATTGAGAATTAACTATTGGGATTTATACTATCATTACAGTGTTTTATGGCATAAAATTTACTTACTATAAAAAATAGCTAATTGAGAGAGGGAGGGGGGATAAATAAATAAATCAACTTTCCCAACTTTTGTTCCCAAACTAGCTGGTTACTACTAAGTGACAGATTAAGGCAAATTTATGATCCTGTTACAATTTCAGTTGATTTGTTTGAATTTAACATGGATTAATCTTCATTGGAAATCCATTAAATCACTTGTAAAAATCTAAATTTCATATTTGTTTAATGTTAGAAAATAGGAAAATCACAAATACATTTGAAACTGAATTTACACTGTATTTGTCTGAAACTTTAGTTACAGTGTTGAAAAATCTGTTAATTGTTGTCTGTTTGTTTGTTCTA